ATGGGTAGAGAAGTGAGGAGTTCCGCCCCTCACACACATGAAGCTGGTACCTCACACACATGAAGCGGGCTGCTCACTACATGACGCGGTTCCCTCACACATGAAACGAAGGCCAGGTGTGTGATGTACCAATACAGAGATGTGTCCCTAAGTTGCAGTATATATATTTGGTATGCTTCCACTTATGCAAGTATTGGACTGTTTACTCAGCAAACTAAACACCAGAGGTGTATCGACTTGAGAATGGTCCAGGACGGACCGAAACGTTGTCGTCCCTTAACTTTCTAGTGTGTGGTTTGGTCAACATATTTCAGCCACGTTATTGTGACTCCTCGTCTGCAACCAGAAGTGTACCCCACCTTGGGGTAGGATGGGGGTAGAGGTAACTACCAACTACCCCAATTAAACACTAATTGGGGTAGTTGGTGAATCTCCGTGACAGTCACAGGCTGGTTGGTGTTCCATTTGAGGCAACTCGAGATCTTTCCTGATTTACGACATTTCATCATCGATAAAAAAATCTTCCAGAAGCTGTGTGTGAGTTAAAGATGCATTTTCGACAGCGGAAGATGGAAGACGCAAGGCTGAATCGATAATATAATCGAAAAATGGAGGACTGTAACATATCGGAAGGAAGATAGATTATTGAACGATTCAGTGACATTGATGGAGCACCCGTAGCTCTTCAAGCGCCATCATCAGGAATGTTCTTGGCGGGTTTTATTCTTTCATCCACCAAGGATGTGGATATCCACCAAGGATGTGGATATCCACCAAGGATGTGGATATCCACCAAGGATGTGGATATCCACCAAGGATGTGGATATCCACCAAGGATGTGGATATCCACCAAGGTAAGACAATGTTCTTAGTTATTCTGCAACCTCTTCAAGCAAGCCTTACCACATAAAAAGTGACGAGCCCTCGGCCAGCCTGGGAGTCCGGACTAGAGCAGAGAGATCTGTTGTGTTGATCTTGATCAGTCATCTTGATCTGAGATCTTGATCTGAGATCTTGATCTGTGATCTTGATCAGTGATCTTGACCAGTGATCTTGATCTGTGATCTTGATCTATGATCAAGACATCGCTCACACCAACTCCATGGAATCTTCATTAATTTTCAATTTATATAACACAAAATATTTAAGAAACTATGCACGAATTATGCATCCATTAGACCACCTTAAGACTTTACTTGCTTTTGCCCCAGAGCACAGTCCTCTGATCGCTTTACAACCAAGCCTCCAACATCTGCCGAGCGAAGAGGGGGTGATGCTCAGTTGCTCCTCCCTGCCCAGGGCTCGAACCCGAGTCGTCCCCGCTTAGGAGGCGAGTAGGTGAGGGGGGGCTCTAACAATTATTTCACACAGTGCTTTAATAGCGTTCATTTACAAGAATCTAGAAAAAGGTGGGACAAAACTCTTTCCATTAGGCACTCTCAGTTTGGAGAACATGAAAGACCTTTGGAAATAAGAGTCAACTCGGGAGTTGAAAAATGCAATTTTTATGTAACAAATATATTCACCCTGTCCTCCCACTTAACACATCAACGTTTGCACATACGTACAAAGTTCAATATGTTCACGGTTTGTTCATACGCACAAAGTTCAATAGGTTCAATGCTTGTACATACGTTCAAAGTTCAATAGGTTCAAGGTTTGTACATACGATCAAAGCTCATTAGGTTCAAGGTTTGTACATACGTACAAACCTGGAAGACATTGGTACTGAACAAATCTCGGAACTGTATGCTGTTTCTCAACCAAAACTGCCACTATCTCTAGGGGAAAAGAGAGAGCAGCCACTTTAGGTGTTCGACTGTTGGTAACCAAACACTTCCAGAACCTCCAGCTAATGACAACAGGGATACACACACACACACACACTGAGAGGTATATCTTTCTTCACTACGTATATACACTGAATGTTTACTGTTGGGCAAGACCATGTTCAGGACTGTACCTTACTATCCGGCTGGTCAGAACCTTCAGATCAGTTAAGATATAAGTTTTCACACTCAACATAAACAATGTTTTAGGTAATTCAGTTTATCTACTCAATTGCAAGTATCTTCAGTAAATTATTATGACTATTCTCGATGAGCTGGCGAGTCTATATTTTTTAATGAGATAGTGCAGCAATATTTTATTGCTGAGCTAACAATACATAATTTAGGTTAACTAATAGTTTCGATTATAATTATTATAATTAAAAAACTGGATTGTATTAATTGATAACACAAACCACTATCTACTTCGTCTTCGTCACAAAACACAACTGGTCTATATTTCCAAATAAAACCCACGTGATTTATATTCTACTATAAAACACTCCTGCTTTATAGTTAATACTAAAAGACGACTGGTTCAACGTTGTTAAGAGGACCCGCCCAATACACTCAAGTATTATTAATATTAAGCCGCTTGACCTGTCTCCCTGCAGACGGAAGCTGAGCATCGTGGCTGAGAGTGTGAGGGAGTGGGACGACTGGCACCTGGACGACCTCCTCACCACACTCATCACTCAGCTGGGTGAGTCACAACCTGTTAGCATCACTACCATAACCGTCCATCACCATTACCATAACCTTCCATCACCAATACAATACTCTTCCATCATCACTACCATAACCTTCCATCACCACTACCATAACCGTCTATCACCACTACCTTAACCTTCCATCACTATTACCATAACCTTCCATCACCATTACCATAACTTTCCATCATAATTATTATAACCTTTCATGATCTCTACAATAACCTTCCATCACCACGACCATAACCTTCCATCGTCACTTCCATAACTGTCCATCTTCACTACCGTAACCTTCAATCACCATTACTATAACCTTCCATCACCATTAATATAATCTTCCTTCACCACTACAATAACCTTCCATTATCACAAGCATAACCTTCCATTATCGTTACTGTAACCTTCCATCGTCACTACCATAACCAGCTATCACCATTACCATAACCTACCATCACCACTACAATACTCTTCCATCATCACTACCATAACCTTCTATCACCACTACCATAACCGTCTATCACCACTACCTTAACCTTCCATCACTATTACCATAACCTTCAATCAACACTACCATAACCTTCCATCTTTACTACTATAACCTTCCATCACCACTACCATAACCTTCCATCACCACTACCAGAACCATCTATAAGAACTACCAGAACCTTCCATCTTCACATCCATAACCTTCCATCTTCACTACCATAACCTTCCATCAGCACTACCATAACCTCCCATTACCACAACCATAACCTTCCATCACCCCTGTCATAACCTTCCATCACCACTATAATAACCTTTCATTAATTCTAATATAACCTTCCATCAACACTACCATAACCTTGCATCAACCCTACCATAACCTTTCTTCTTCACTAATATAACCTTCCATCATCACTCTTACATAACCTTCCACCACCACTACCATAACCTTCCATCATCACTACTATAACTTTCCATCATCACTTCCCTAACCTTCCATCAACACAACTATAGCATTTTGTCAACACAACCATAACCTTCCATCTTCACTACTATAACCTTCCTTCTTCACTACTATAACCTTCCATCTTAACTACCATAATCTTCAATCATCACTACTATAACCTTCAATCATCACTACTATAACCTTCCGTCACTACTATTATAGCATCTTCCATCTTCACTACTATAACATTCTATCACTCCTACCATAACCTTCTATCACCACTACTATATCCTTCCATCCTCACTATTGTAACCTTCAATCTTCACTACCATAAACTTCCATCTTCACTTCTGTAATCATCAATCTTCACAACTATAACCTTCCAGCACCAGTACTATAGCCTTCAATCTTCACTACTTTAACCTTCCATCTTCACTACCATAACTATCCATCTTCACAACTATAACCTTCCAGCACCAGTACTAAACCTTCAATCGACACTACTATTACCTTCCAAGTTCACTACCAAAACCATCCATCTTCATTAACAAAACCTTCCATCACTCCTGCAATAACCTTCCATCACCACTACCTTAACGTTCCATCATCACTACCATACATTCCATGTTCACTACCATAACCTTCCATCTTCACTACTATAACATTTCATCTTCGCTATTATAACCTTCCATCACTCCTACTATAACCTTCCATCACTCCTACCATAACCTTTCGACACCACTACCATTGCCTTCTGTCACCACTACTATAACCTTCCACCACTATTATAATAACCTTCCATCACCACCACTATACACTTCCATCGCTAATACCATAACCTTCCATCACTATTATCATAACCTTCCATCACCAATATTATAACCTCCATCACCTCTACCATATCCTTCCATCACTATTACCATAACATTCCATCACCACTAATATAACCTTCCATCACCACTACTATAACTTTTCGTCGCTATTACCATAACCTTCCATCACTAATATAACCTTCCATCACTACTACTGTAACTATCCATCACTAATACCATAACCTTCCACCACCACTATAATAATCTTCAATCTCTATTACCCTAACCTTCCATCACTATAACCATAACCATCCATCACTATTACCACAACCTTCCATCACAAATCAACCCGTCCTCTTAAAAAGAACGTCACTTTTGGCTGGTATGCGCGATATGGCTAAATTTGGACGTAATTTGAAATGAAATCGACTCACAAAAGTGACGTTCTGTTCCGTTTTCTATTTGAGTCGTCCGGCGTACGCGCAGAGGTTATAAGAGGACACTTTAAATTCACGTTTTTCATAACGTTTTGAAACTTTATGAGAATTTCCTGCCCACCTAACCTATCAGAGGACCCTTAACTTACTGTTGTTGAAAAAAGAAATCCCAAATTTATTTTAATTTTTTTTTCATTTTCAAATTACGTCCAAATTCGGCCATACGGGCAAACGGCCAAAAGCGACGTTCTTTTTAAGAGGACAGGTTGCACAAATACCATAACCTCCCATCAACACAACCATAACCTTCCATCACTACTACCATAACCATCCATCACCACTACCATAACCTACTATCACCACGACCATAACCTTCCATCACCACTACCATAACCTTGTTTTCACTATTACCATAACCTTCCATCACAATTACTATAACTTTCCATCAACACTACCATAAATTTGCATCACCACTGCAATAACCTTCCATCATCACTGTCATAACCTTCCATCAACACTACCATAACCTTCCATCTTCACTACTATAACCTTCCATCACAACTACCAGAACCATCGATCAGAACTACCATAACCTTCAATCTTCATTTCCATAACCTTCCATCTTCACTACTGTAATCTTCAATATTCACAACTATAATCTTCGAGCACCAGAATTACAACCTTCAATCTTCACTACTATTCCCTTCCATCTTCATTAACATAACTATCCATCTTCACAACTATAACCTTCCATCACCTGTACTAAAACCTTCACTCTTCACTACTATTATCTTCCATCTTCAGTACCATAACCTTCCATCTTCATTACCTTCATTGCCTTCCATCTTCAATACCTTCCATCACTCCTGCAATACTCTTCCATCACACCTACCTTAACCTTCAATCATCACTACCATACCTTCCATGTTCACTACCATATGGATATAATCTTCACTATTATAACCTTCCATCACCACTACCATAACTTTTCCTCACCACTACTATAACCTTCCATCTTCACTGCCATAACATTCCATCTTCGTTATTAAAACATTCCATCACTTCTACTATAACCTTTCATCACTCCTACCATAACCTTCCATCACCACTACCATATCACCACTACACCTTCCATCACTATTATAATAAACTTCCATAAACACTATATACCCTTCCATCACTACTACCATAACCGTCCATCACTAATACCATAATCTTCCATCACCTCTACCATAACCTTCCATCACTATTACCATAGCCTTCCATCACCACTATTATAACCTTCAATTATCACTACCATAACTGTCCATCACCACTACCATAATATTTCACCACTATTACCATAACCTTCCATCACCACTACTCTAATCTTCCATCACCAATACCATATCCATCCATCACCACTAACATAACCTTCCATCACCACTACCATAACCTTCCAACACCACTACCATAACCTTCCAACACAACTACAATAACCTTCTATCACCACTACCATAACCTTCCATCAACACTACCATAACCTTCCATCACTATTACCATAACCTTCCATCACAACTACCATAACATTACATCAACACTACTATAACCTTGCACCACCACTGCCATAACCTTCAATCATCACTGCCATAACCTTCCATCAACACAACAATAACTTTTCATCTTCACTGCTATAACCTTCCATCACCTCTACCATAACTTTTCATCACCACTGCTATAACCTTCCATCTTCACTACCGTAACATTCCCTCTTCCCTATTGAAACCTTCCATCACTCCTACTATAACCTTCCATCACTCCTACCATAACCTTCCATCACCACCACCATTGCCTTCCATCACCACTACTACAAGCTTCCAGTACTATTATAATAACCTCCCTTAACCACTACTATACCCTTCCATCACTACTACCATAACCTTCCATCACTATTACCATAACCTTCCATCAACACTATTATAACCTTCCCTCACCATAACTGTCCATCACCACTACTATAACTTTCCATCATTATTTCCTTAACCTTCCATCACCAATACTATAACCATCTATCACCAATACCATAACCTTCCACCATCACTACCATAATCTTCAATAACTATTACCACAACCTTCCATCACAAATACCATTACCTTCCATCAACACTACCATAACCTTCCATCAACACTACCATAACCTTCCATCACCACTACCATAACCTTCCATCACAACTACCATAACCTTCCATCACCACTACCATAACCTTGCATCACCACTGCCATAACCTTCCATCATCACTGCCATAACCTTTTATCAAAAATACAATAACCTTCCATCTTCACAACTATAACCTGCCATCACCACTACCAGAACCTTTCTTCACTATTACCATAACCTTCCATCCCAACAACCACAACCTTCCATCAACACTACCATTACCTTGCATCATCACTGTCATAACCTTCCATCTTCACTGTCATAACCTTCCATCTTCACTACTGTAATCTTCAATATTCACAACTATAATCTTCCAGCACCAGAACTATAACTTTCAATCTTCACTACTATTCCCTTCCATCTTCATTACATTAACTATCCATCTTCACAACTATAACCTTCCAGCACCAGTACTAAAACCTTCACTCTTCACTACTATTATCTTCCATCTTCAGTACCATAACCTTCCATCTTCATTACCTTCATTACCTTCCAACTTCAATACTTTCCATCACTCCTGCAATAACCTTCCATCACCACTACCTTAACCTTCCATCATCACTACCATACGTTTCATGTTCACTACAATAACCATATGGTTATATTCTTCACTACTATA